TTCCTTCCTTCCTTCCTTCCTTCCTTCTACCCAGGCACCACATCCAAGGGGTTGCGCTAGCCTCAGACCCACCCATTGTCCCATCTGGCTCTGACTTTTCCTGTGAAGTGTCCAGGCTATGACACTGAGAGGAATACAGCCAGGGACACCAGCCAAACCTTCAGCCAGTCTCTGCTGGGGCCGGGAGCTTCCTGAGACCCCAGAAGGAGGACAGGGCCCTTAGGAACACCACTATTTCTCCTGGGGCTCTAGGGGCCCTGCCTCTGATCCTCAGGGCAGAGAGAAAGTCCTCCGACCCTAAGGTCACCAGGAAAAGCCCTACTTTTTACTTGTTTTCTAAATCTTTCTTGTGTTTTGACTCTGAAGCCAACTTTTAGGCTTCCACACCCAAACACTGGTTGGCAAGAGCCCCTCAGCCCGACTTCATCCGAGGGCAGGGATGGGTCCCCAGGGAGGCTGGGGTCGGAAGATGAGAATGCAGCGGTGGGGAGGAGGCACTCGGGGAGGTGCCGCAGCTTTCTGCTCCCAGTTTCTGAATTGCAGAGGGGAGAGTGAGGACGTGGAGAGGGAAGAGGAGGAGAATACGCAGCCTCGGCTTCTTTCTGGAGCCCAGCTCACCAGCTCACAGAGGAACTGGGGCTTAGGGCCCCTGCAACCGTGCCCACCTGCCCAGCAGCCCGACCCTGCTGTGGGCCCTGCACATTATTGGAGCAATACAAAAGCCACCTATAAACTCATGGGGCTTTAGAACTTTTATATTTTAAAATATAGCAAGCGGCCCTTCCTTATGGTTCTCGAAACTGTACCAGGCAAAAGAGAAAGCGGTTGAGAGACGGAGGTTGGACGGCCTGCTCAGAGTGTGGGGTCAGCTTCAGCACACTCGCTGGCCCCAACAGCCCCCGAGCCATCCGGGTTTAGCGGCGCAATAGGAATGTTTCCGGGCCGGGCCGTGGGCAGGTCCTGCTGGCTTACAGGCCAACTTACTCCCTGTCCACCGCCTTCTGAGAGAACTGCCACACACGCGGCTGTCAAGTAGGCCCTGCGCGCAAGGCGTCAGGGCAGGCTGCGGAGGTGGCACATCGCTCTGTCCCTCAGATCCACACCCCAGCCGCCTTCCTCCCCTGCTAATTCCCTACTAGCTGGCTTGACTTTGAGGACTGAGAGCCTTGGGACTCCTCAGGAGCAGCGTCCCGGCAGCCCTCCGAGCTCACCCTGTCATCCTCTGGCTGGCTGGCTGGCAATTATATCCCACTCAGGAAGGGGCAGGGGTGCGGCAGCCAGCTAAATACAGACTCAGTTTCTAGAAAGCCAGGGGTGAGAGAGGACACTGACGCTTCTCATGCCAGAGGCCAGTTCATCAAACATGAAGGAGACAAGAGCTTACAAAAGTGACAAGTGCCTTGGGCTGGGGCTCTTGCTTGATGGGCTGTCCGGCCAGCAGAGTGGCGGCAAGAGCGCCCTGTGGGCGCCGTCTGCTGCTGACTGCCACTGAGACCCTGGCAGAAGTGGGTGCAGTGCGCAGTGGCTATTGGGCACCTGTGGTGAGAGTTGGTCTCCACTGCCCTCAAACAAGCTTGGGGGGAGGCATTCCCAGCTCACAAGGGACACAGAGTGGCACAGGACTGCTGAACAACTCGCTTTCTGTGCCCCCCCCCCCGCACGGTTAATGGGTGTGTAACCGTGGACTGCAGCCATGACCTGCCCCACTCGGAAGCTTTTGCTCTTTCACGCTAAGGTCTTCACAAGAGTCTGCCACCTCTCAGTCAAAACTAGCGCAGCAGGCACTTGACTTCGGGGCCGGCGCCCGAGGTCCTGTGAAGAGATGCAGGGGAAGATCAACCCTATCTGTTGAATAACTACAGAAGAGTACACCAAAATAGAGAAAATCGGAGAAGGTATTTATGGAGTTGTATATAAGGGTAGACACAATACTATAGGTCAAGTGGTAGCCATGAAGAAACTCAGACTAGAAAGTGAAGAGGAAAGGGTTCCTAGTACTGCAGTTCGGGAAATTTCTCTATTAGAAGTACTTCGCCATCCAAACATAGTCTTCAAGATGTACTTGTGCAGGATTCCAGGCGGTAGCTCATTTTGAATTCCTTCCATGGATCTCAAGAAGTGCTTGGATTCTGTTCCTCCTTGTCAGTTCCTGGATGCGTCACTTGGTAAGAGTTATTTGCACCAGATCCTTCAGGGCATTGTCTTTTGTCACTCTAGAAGATTTCTTCGCAGAGACCTGAAACCTCAAAATCTGTTGATTGGTGACAAAGGAACAATCAAACTGGCTGACTCTGGCTTTGCTAGAGCTTCTGGGATACCTATTAGAGTATATACACATGAGGTAGTGACACTCTGGTTTAGATCTCCAGAAGTGCTGCTGAGGTCTGCTCGTCACTCGACTCCAGTTGACATTTGGAATATAGGCACCATTTTTGCAGAATTGGCAACTAAGAAACCACTTTTCCAAGGGGATTCAGAAACTGATCAGCTCTTCAGGACTTTCGGAGCTTCGGGCACTCCCAACAATGAAGTGTGGCTGGAAGTGGAGTCTTTACAGGACTGTAAGAACACATTTCCCAAGTGGAAACCCAGGAGCCTGGCAGCCCGAGTCAAAAACCTGGATGAAAATGGTTTGGCTTTACTCTTGCAAATGTTAGTCTATGATCCTGCTAAACGGATTTCTGGCAAAATGGCGCTGAGTCACCAGTGTCCTGATGATTGCGAAGGTCAGATTAAGAAGATGTACATTTCCAACAAAGAGCTTCCACATGTCATAATCTAGGATGAATAGTTGTATTTCTACTG